TAATTTTAATTACATTTTTATTTAAATTTGTGAAGAAAAAGTAAGGGGGTCTCTCCTGGTTATTCAGAGATTATACACATGGTGAGAAACAGCATTAAGTTTTATTTGGAATGCAAGCTGCTATGTTAAAGTGATCAAAATAAGGGCAAACAAGACCTGATAGTAGGGTGACCACTACATCCTGTGCTGGGACTGTGTAAGGACACAGCCAGATCCCCTAAGAGTCTTCCAAACAAACAGGAAGGCTGTTGCTCATCACCATGGCTACAACATCCTTTGGGCCTCAGGAAAGGCCTTGGTTTTTCAGGAACAATCCAAGAGGATGCTTTGTCTCTAGGTCTTGCAAATGAAGTCAGGAGAGGAAGCCAAACATAAAAATGTGAAGTGTCCTGGTTGAGACGCAAACACATCATGAGGTGGGAGAAGGGGAGGAGCCAGGCACATCAAAAATCACTGACACTGACTTAAAAATAAAAATCACTCCTGCAGTTGTTAAACTGTACCTGAACATAGACACAGATGAAAATATAGTAGTTATTTGTTCTAGAATTGGATTGTGTATGGGTTTTTGCATGTGTGTATGATTTAAACACAACATTATGAAAAAGAACATATATGTGTGCAACTCAATTTCAACACACATACTTTCTTTTTCATACACACACAAAACTTATATCCCATAATATAATGCTAAGTGCTTTTTGAAATTGATAATACAAATTCAACACAGAGACTGAGGATGGTGACCATGAAACTGCTTGGGACTGATGTTGTAATCCATTCAGGTTGCTATAAAGCATATTTTAGATGGGATAATTCACAAACAACAAAAATTTATAACTCACAATTCTGGAGATGGGGAAATCCAGGGTCTGGGCACCAGCACACCCAGTGTCTGGAAGAGCTCACACCTGTCTTCATGGGGACACTCTCTTGCTACATCCTCACGTAGCAGGGGCAGACAAGCTTCCCTGGGCTCTTTTTAGAGAGCACCAGTTCCTGAGATCATCTCCTAAAAGCCTCACCTCTTAATCCTACTGGCAAGTATGTTTCAATATCTGCATTTTGAGGGAAACACAGCCATTCAGACCATGGCAGCATGTTCCTCTGAATGATAGTTAAGCCCATCATGTAGGTACTTGGGCTCACCTTCCCATTGCCAAAGGAGAGGTAATCATGCTTGCACTATGGACAAACATGCTTCAGTTCATCAAACTGAAGTGCTCATTAATGAATCCATAATAATACAAGAAGGAGTAGAACCTTAAAATACATAGGAAGTATATTTTTGAACAAAAAATCTATAATTTACTGAGTGTCTGTATTTGTCTCACAGTCTTGTGTTCATATTACCTCATGGGAGTCTATGAGCACCATATGCAGCATTGCCATTATCTTACAAATGAAAAACTGGGGCTCTGAGAGGTTAAAGTGGCTGGCTTCAAATCACTCAGCTCACGGGCAGCAGGTGCAGTGCAAATAGAGACCCATTAGCTTACATATGCATAGCCATATATAGATATAGATATAGATATAGACATATAAATATATGCAATGAAACATTTGCAGTTACTTTTACTAATTCCATTTTAAGACACTGCATTTTACAGTTCTGAAGATAAGATTCCTAACGGATATGGCCCAGCATTGGTATCACTTCTCCTTTTGAAAAGCAATTTTTTTCTCCCCTTCCACTTTCTCATTTAATCCTCATAACACTGCAAAAGTGACACTTTAATAATCCCCATAATGAAAACTGAAACACAAAGATGTTTAAGTGTCTTTCATGAGAACACAGATAAGTGCCTGGGCCAGATCTTAAGTAGGAATCATCTTATTCCAAGCCCAACACTTCATTGCACAGGTGGAAACCAATATAAGACTGTGGGTTTGCTGAACAAAAGATTGAGGGGAAAAAACAAAATTTCTGAAGATTTTTAAATAACTACAAATGGATATTCAGCCTCTTTCCACTACCCATCCACCAAAACAAACATTAACTTTACTCTGTACCTACCCAATCTTTTAAAAGTGCTGATAAGACATTTTAAATTTTAGATTTTCAAAAATTTTTTCATTGTTTTAAAAATACTATAGTTACTATTTCAAATGAGACTTGTTTCTTTCTACCCCCATCTCAGGTGATCGTATGGATCTATTTATTTTTAAAATACAGAAGAATGTATGTAGTGCCATGTTTAAAACAAGGGAAATTACTGAATTTGATAAGCATTTATGCAGCACCTGCTATGTTCCAGGCGCTCTTGTGTACTGCTGGGGACACAGCAATGAACAAAATAAACAACAACCGCACACTTAGGCTTTCACAGTTTGCCAGCCACCGAGTATTATTATAAAGTGCCACACATTTTAGCATATGTGTTTGCCAATGTGACATATAAAGCTTTCTTTTTAATAACTGCATAGCATTCTGTGTTATGACTATGTGAGAATTTATTCAACTATTTCTTCATGGGTCATACTGCATTCTGATTAGATTTTGATTTTTTTGCAACCACTATTACAATAAACATCTCTAATGTACTATATATACATACATCAGAGACAGAGGAGGGGGGATACTATTTCTAAAGAAAATTAGAGTAGACTGGACGAATAAGAACTTTGAGACTCCCTGGTCCTTAGTGTTCTTCCGAGTGCGTTCCTTCCTTTTTCCCAGGTGTGCTCGAGGGCTCTGGTACTATCCACCTGGGTGGTGCTGAAGCAGATCCTCGGGCTGCGTCCTTCAGTCCCTCCCAGCCCCAACACACTTGGCACCTGTCCTCTTGCCTCTCCAGCTCACTATCGGATAAGCAACTTCGACCACAAATACTCTAAGTTTTGCTTAATATGCAAATTTAAACTGTTTGGCGTCTCGTGTGTTTTACCAATAATTCTCTGACCTGTCCTTCCTCGTCGTCCGTGGCACTAGATCTGCCTTGAGCACAAGTCAGTTGTCTTTTACATGGTTACTGGCTCATCCTTCGAGATCTGTGTCAACCCATGTGATTAATTACACCGTGTCATTCTTGATTCAAGACGTGTGTCACGCTGCACACCTACAACAAAGTGTAGTTCCTTGAACAGGATTTTTTTTTTTCCTCCGTACATTCCTGATCTTGCGTGGCTCGCTGTCCCCGTTAGCTGGAATCGCGGTTCTGCACTGCCGCATCTCCTAAACCTTGGAAAGACTTGTTTCCTGACATTTAAATCACTAGCTAGCGGTTTCCTACCCACTTCCCGTTTCCCTTCCCTGCTTGGCGTCCTCCTGCGGGCCTGGGACCCGACCTGCCAGCACCTTCTGGTCCACAAGGCGAAGTCCGGGATGGGAGGGTCCCGCTCCCGGCGGCGCCGTCGCCCGCCCCAGGCCTGCCCGACCCCTTCCCCTCCTCCCGCCCGCGCCGTTCTAGGAGGAGCCTGAGTGACCGCTTCCCGGTTGGAGGGGATCGCGGGGCGTAAACAGGATTAACTCTCTCCCGCCCAGCCGCGCTGACTCGGCCGGCGGCCTGCGATCGGGCGCGGCCCGGAAGGGCGATGGGACTGCTGGCGGCCGCGGAGCCCACTCTGGAGCCCGCCTGGCTGCCGAGCGTTACCTGGGCCCGCAGCCTCCCGGGCTGCCGCGCAGAAGCCTCGAAGGACTGCGGTGACCGCCCCTAGCCGCCGCCCCCTCCGCCGCCTCCGCGTCCTCGCCGCCCACCGCGCCCAGCCGCCCGCCCCGAGCCAGCCTGCTGCGCCCCGGAGCCGTCCGCCCGCCCGCGCTCAGCCATGGGGGACCTGCCCGGCCTCGTGCGCCTCTCCATCGCGCTGCGCATCCAGCCCAACGACGGCCCGGTCTTCTACAAGGTGGACGGGCAGCGCTTCGGCCAGAACCGCACCATCAAGCTGCTCACCGGCTCCTCCTACAAGGTGGAGGTGAAGATTAAGCCCACCACACTGCAGGTCGAGTGAGTTTGGGGCGCGCCGCGGCTGGGGTCGGCGAGGGGGCTCGGGTGAGGCCCCGGGAAAGCTGAGCCTCTGGGGCCTCTAGTCTTGCACTGCATCCTGCGGGCCAGGGGTGGGAGAAGAGCTCCAGATCCATCCTAGTCTCCTCCTCTACCTTATGGTTGTGTTACCCCCTTTCCTCCACCATCGAGTGACTTTAGTGGGTTCGTTTAAATCAGCTAGTTGGAGGGGGAGGGGTGTCTTGTAAATTTCCTTTTTGTTCAGCCACCGGGTCGGGTCGGAAACGCAGCTGGTCCTGTTGGGGTAGACGGTAGAAGGTCGCAGCGGGGTTCACCTACCCGAAACCCCAGTCCTCTCTGCCCTCTCCTGGCCTCCTGCCGACCTCTACAGGCTTCTACCCGCAAGACTGAAGGAGAAAATCAGGCTGAAGAATGAAGTGTAAAGACGGGGGATGGGTGGCTTGGGGGCTCTGTGGAGGATGTCTCCACTCTTCCTTCAGCCCTTTAGAGGTGGGGGACCCCAGTCTTGGGCTGCAGGCAGAAGTCAGAGAGGGCCTGGCCTTGGCTTAGGCCTAGTTTTTGTGATTTTCTGTCTCCTCTAGTTTTCTTTTTCGCTCTAGTTGTCTCATCAGTCTAGTGATGTTGCCTGGGATTAAAAGCATCCTGGACACAAGAGGCTGTTTTGGGTTTATTAGTGGCAGGGATTATCTCTTCCCACTTACCAAGAAATGGTGCACCCCATAAATCTCTGGCAAGAAAGTCAGTGTGGAGCAGTGCAGTAGCCTGTAGGGGTAAGGGGAAATCTATTACTTGGTTGGTAAGGAGAAATTAAACTAACATTTATGGCATTTACCAGACTGTGGGAGAAGATTTTGAATCCACTACACACTTCCGTAGTTTGTTTTAATGTAGTAAAATTACATTAGCTTTCTAGTGCAAGGACCCAGACACACACTTGGAGGGCTCCTGGTGCTTTTTGGTCCATCTATTTGGCAGCACCCTGAGTCCATGCAGCCATTGCCCACACACTGCCCAGTGTTACCAACACGTGCATCTGTTCTAGGATCTCTCTCGCTCGCTCGCTCACTCGCTTACACACACACACACACACACACACACACACACATCTTTCATTTAATGTATGTATTTGGTACAGGGTCCCGTTATGCAGCTTGGTCTCATAGTAATCCTCCTGTTTGCAGCCTCCCCAACACTGGGATTACAGGCATGCGCCAGTACACCTGGACTCTGTGGCCAGCGAGATGTGCTCAGTGGTCTTAGGCCAGCACCACATGTGGTACCCAGGATTGAACCCTGGTCCTTACACTTGCCAGGCAGGCACTTAGACTGCTGAGCTACTTCCTCAGCCCAATTCTAGGATTTTGTTTTTTTTTTCCTTCTTCCCTGGCAGCCTCTTCCCCAGACCTATCTGGTCTATATTCCATTTCCTTCAGGGTAGTTCTCTAAATTTCAAGTTAGTCTAAACACAGATTTAATGACAGATTTTTTTTCTAGGTACACTTTACTTTTCTCTATAACAAACCCAAATATAAGTAATTTAAAGAAGGGCCTGCCAGATAGCTCAGTGGATTAAAGCGCCTGCTTGCAGGCACAGGGTCCGGGAGTTGGATCCCCAGGCCTGCTGTGCCAGCCCTGCCCCCAGAGTGCCTTGAGACAGCGATTGAGACTGGGCATGGTGGCACACACCTATAATCCCAGCTCTTGGAAGGCTATAAACAGGCAAATCACTACGAGTCCAATCTGCACAGTGAGACCCTGTACACCGTTTACACCCTGTCCTAAATACAATAAATAAATAATAAAAAATAAGCAATTTAAAGATTGAAATAAAAATTAAGAGGAAACTGGGAGATAGGACTTTTTGCAAATGAGCCAGGAATCTAGAGGTAGGAAGAAGGGTGAGGAAGGGGAAGTGAAGAGGATTGAGATGTGTTACGTACATGTACCAACTCCCCAAGATGAGTGTAGTCATTATCTATCACAAAGGTGCACTAATAACTTTTTAAAAGGGCTTCTCAATGCCTTAATCCAATGGTTCTCAGACCTTAGTGTACATAGAATCAAGGCTTAAGGCAGAGATGATCAGAGTCCTCCCTGGAGTTTCTATTTTTCAGTGCCTAGGCTGAGGCCTAAAGCTTTGTGTCCTGATAGGTGAGGCTGATACTGCCTATCCAGGGGCTGTGCATGCTGAACAACCCTCCTACCAAAGCAATGATGCCAGGTGGAATTTCTGGTGATGTGACAGACTTAAAGAAGAGTGCCATCGAATCACAGAACTCATAATTCTTAGAGAGATGATCACTGGTTCTTGACCATACCTGCATATAAGAATTAGTTAGATACATTTAAAATAAACTTGCTAGTGCCCAACTACATCCCAGACCAATGAATCTTAGTCTCTGGGGCTTCAGATGGAACTGGGAATAGATAGATTTCTAACAGAGCTCCACAGATGATTTTGCTGAAAACTAAAGAGAAACACTGATTGCTGGATGAGATCTTCGGGAGAAGAATAAGGAGGTCAGGTCAAAGAGACAAAGTAATTGGTATAGTCACATGTCTGGTTAATTGCAGAACTCTATCATCCTGAACTTTCAGAACTTCCTAGCATACTTCAGTGTCTCCTTTAGCCAACTGTAGGTTTCCAGTCTAGGCCTTTGGTCCGGACCAGGACAGAGCATGCATGCTGATACCTACCAGATATAACCAACTAAAATCCATTTGCAGGAACATTTCCATCGGAGGGGTGCTTGTCCCACTGGAGCTGAAGTGCAAAGAGCCTGATGGAGACCGAGTGGTGTACACGGGCACATATGACACAGAAGGTGTGGCCCCAACTAAGAGTGGAGAACGACAGCCCATCCAGATCACCATGCCGGTGAGGCTGGGTTGGGGCCTTGAGGGTGTATTTCAGGGAAAATGGAAACCAAGGGAGGAAAAATAGCACCTCTTTAAGAGGTATATGTATTGGAGCCAATAACTGTGGAAGTTAGATGGGCTCTCCATCATGGGCTTGCTAGGGACATTACTGTGTAATTAATGTTCTTTTGTATGACAGACTGACCTGAGAGAATAGACACCTAGAGTCACCAGGCAAATGATTCTAAAGAGAGTACCTACATTCCCATTTTCCGTTTTGTATTCTACATCAGAACCAGTTTAGATAATTGACCCATCCAAGTCTCTAATTCAAATAGCCTATGGTAGTTCAGCTTTGAAAAAGTTGATTTGGTAGGTTACATTTTGCTACTTGTGTTTACTCTAAATGGAGGGCCATTAAAAAAAAAGACTGCTGTGGAAAAATAATAATCCCTTAGTACCAAGGGCTACTGAGATGAAAGACAGCCATCTCTAAGTATCCACAGGAATTGGCTCCAGGACACCATGCAGATGCCAAAATCTACAGATTTTTAAAGCCATTATAGAAAATGGCATGGTATTTGCATATAACCATATACTATATGTTCATCTTCAGTACACTTTGAATCATCTTGAGATTATGATGCCTAATATATACAAATAGTATCTTTGCCAGAATCAGAGTTCTAACACAGCAAGGTCCTAACATCACAAGGCACTGGCAGTACACCTCAATTCTTTTTGTCTTTGACAAATGACCTCAGTCAAGGTGTGTAGGCTGTACTCTACAGCACAGATAGCATTTTTTGAAACATGATAAATTTTCAGTGATAGACAAAATAAACCTTCAAACATAAGGGTGAGCAATTGCCGAAGTGGCAATTGAATGAGGCCTCAGATTACATTTATGTGATTTTTTTTTTTTTTTTTTTTTTTGACCGTGCCTCACTGTGTAGTTCAGGATGGCCTTGAGAGCACTATAGAGCCCAGGCTGGCCTTGAACTCACAGCAACCCTCCTGCCTCAGCCTCACAAGTGCTGACATTACAGGAGTGGACCACCAAGCCTGGCCATTTATGTGATTAACTGGGTCTTTAAAGGAATAACTTTCCTTCTCCCAAAGTCATTGTTCCTGCCTAAATAAAGTGAGCTGTGTTTCTCTACTTCAGAAGATAGTAGCCCCCTGTTTACTACTCCATAGACCTTGAAGATTTTTCTAAGCCTTCATTCATGATCTGGACTTTATATGGGCCCTGGATCTTATCAGCACACTTAACTCAATGTCCCTGAACTTAAAGTTCAAAAGAACAAGCTTTCATGGAATCTTATCTATAGTTAATGATTTAAAAAAGGGCAGGAAAAAAATGTTATCCTAACTTTTCACTTAGCCTTCAGCCACCTCTCCCTAGGGCTGCTAGTGACTAACTTTCGGCCTAATGGTGTGTGAACAGTTGTTATACTGTGTTAGCTGGGGAATATTGACAAGGTAAATGTCTATACAATTTCATTACAGTCTCAATCTTTATTTTCTGAGTGTTTTCAGTCCACAGTCAGATGTACATTGATACAGAGGGACACACAGAGGGAAATCTATACGTTATGAGACAATTTTATAGCAAAGTTATGTTGATTAGACAAAAAGATCAAATTAATAAAAGGTTAAGGAAGTAGAATTCACTATATGTACAAATACAATAGATGGTGAGGTAAGCTTACCAAAACATGGAAAAAGGAAAATTCACCTACAGGGCTGCTATAAAACCGGATTAGCAGCCAGGCACGGTGACACACACTTGTAAGCCCAGCACTCGGCAGGCTGAGGCAGGAGGAGCGCTGTGAGTTCAAGGATCACCTAAGCAAGTTCAAAGTCAGCCTTCACTACACAGTAGGACCCTGTCACACACACACCAAAAAACCTGACCAGCCTTTTCACTACTCATGACCAACTTTGAAGCCAGCCACAGTGCTGCAATCACAGCTACTGTGGAGGCTGAGATGGGAGAATCACACAATTGCAGTCAGCCTGGGCAACTGACTGGACCCTGTCTCAAAAATTTAAGACTGGGGGAGGAAGCTCAGTGGTAGAGTGTTTACCTATCATGCAAGGTGCAAGACGCAATTCTCCCCAAACGCCAAAAAACGAATTGTCAAATTGTCTGCCCTCTACACCTGTGGGGGAGTTCGCAGAGCTTCACCAATGCCACTAGCATAAGAATCTCCTCAGGATCTATTTAGATTGCTAATCCTAAACTCCACCTCCAGTGATTTTAGGAAAGTTAAAAATTGGAGTCAAAGAAATTGGATTCTCAACATGCTTACCAGAGAGCTGGTCCTGAGAACGATGGGGTGTGGAATGAATTTTGAGAGCTGCGACCTAATTCTTCCAGTCCTTAAAAGCCTTAAGATATGCAAAGTATAGAGGAAGGGAGGCAGAAGAGGAAGAGAATTCAGATGTGTTATGTGCGTGTACCAACTCCCCCTGATGACTGTAATCATTATATACTTCAAATATGTATTAATAAAAAGCTTAAACATTTAAAAGAAGAAAACCTCAGGGTTTCACAGTACTCAGTATACTTAAAACAATCACAACAATAATGTATAAAACTAATCTAGTATCACGTCCTTCACATCCTCTATTTTAACTGTGTTTGTTAAAAAAAAAAAAAATCCAGTACAGATTATTTAACAGCTGGAAAAACACAAAATACAAGAAATATATATTTCTTGTAGAAAGTAACAGTTATCATGGTATCACTTTGGTGAATGTTCTTTTTTGGGGGGGACGGAACCACAGATTGAGCTCAGGCCCTTGCGCCTGCTAGGGAAGCACTTATTCTACTGAGCCATCTCCCTGGCCCTCGTGAATGTTCTTAGAAAGTTATTTGTACTGTCTTTTCTTTCTACTTAAACTTTTTTCTCCTTCGGTACGTATTTAGATGTCAAATATACCTCCAATTTGTAAATACAGTATATTTTGAAATCTGGATACT